TTTTAATTAAAATACTTCCAAGGATCTTTAATCTTTTTCAGATTAGTCTGAAGGGTACTCTTAGCCAACTCAAGTTTCAACTTCAACACCTTCAACAAATGTGAATGATTGCTGATTTCATTTCTCCCCCTTTTCTCTCTCTCTCTAATCCTCCACTTTTGCTTTTCCTCGTCAATCCTCCACCCTCCCAGAGAAATCATCCTGAAACAACAGCAAACAGGACCAAGTCTTATCAGATTTACCTTTCCTAAAATGTGTTTGATTGTCACAAATAAGCCTCTGTTTTCCTACCTTTGATTAAAATGTTGTGGTATGTGAGCAGAGACTAGATTCCCTACTTTTAGAAAGCTTAAGATCAAAATAAACCAAATATTTTATTAGGGTGAGCGTTTTTTCATTTTTGAAGAAAAACAATACTTAACCCATAAATATCTTCACCATACCATGTGCTGAAAATTGAGCATTTTCTGCACTGATTATTAAAGTTGTATAATCTGTAAAGGAATATGTATTGTATAATATATAAAGTTGTAAAGGAATAGTATCTTTTGCTTCTATTCTATTTCATAAACCTGAACATAAGGATAACTATGTGGCAGAAACTCAATAAAAAATAAACACTAAATAGAATTTAAGGCTTGTTTAACAACCCACTCTCACCTAAGGTAAGATTCCTTGCTAGCATAGTATATACTAGCCATGTCAGTCAAGTCACTATGTCTTTATTCTAACAGTAGTGATGATTCTACATGAGTAAAGCTCCTTTTAAATCACCAGGTATTCCACTGAAAACAGAATCATACTAACTGTCTTGCATTTAATGGGACTTTCCAAAAATTATGCATTCTAAGGGATAAAAAATGCATCACATGAAGTCAATTAAATGTATATGAGCTAGAAAATGCAAATAAACCCAATACACACCCAATAGAATGCTAAAATTAAAAAGACTGACAACACAAATGTTAGCTAGGAAGCACAACTGGAACTCTCAGACATTGCTGGTAAGAGTGTAAAATGGTGCAACCACTTTGGGAAAAGGTTCAGAAGTTTTTCAAGTCAAACATATCCCACCACCCCTCTCCCACAACTCAGCAATTCTATCCCTACTTGCTAAATCAAGAAAAATAAAACATATGTCCACATTAAGACCTACATAGGAAGGTTCACAACTTTATTCATAAAAACCAAAAACTAAAAATAACTAAAATGTCTAGCAATGGGAGTATGGAAATAAATTATGATATATTCATATTATGGAATACTACTCAGCAATAAAAAAGAACACATTACTCATATATACAACATGGATGAATCTCACAGACATTATACTGAACAAAAGAAGCTGAACTCAAAAAAAAGAGTACATACTGTGTGATTCACTTACAAGAAGTTCTAAAACTAATCTGTGGTTAAACAACTTAAAAGCTAGTTATTTCTGGTGGAGCATTATTGATCAGAAAGGGGTACTAGAGAAATTTCTAGGATGCAGGAAATTATCTCAAGAGGGATGTGGGTCATGTGGGTATATGTGTTTTGTCAAAATTCATCAAATTGTACACTTATGATTTATAAATTTCACTGTATGTAGATGTTACATTAAAATTACAGCACTAATAAACAACTGTGAAACTAGTTAGTTGGTCTGCTTATCATGGTGATATGAGTAAGCAACTTTGAAATGGCTTAAGGTATATTCTAGACTCAAGCAAATGAGCAAACATGTTGAGGATGATGAAGCTAGGTTTCTCACTGCCAAAGACTGTAGTAATAAATATGGAGAGGAACCTGGGATGAACCTGAAGTGTTGGACTGAATTAGAAGCATCAATATGAACACATGATTCTTATGTGTATATTATATTAAATTTACATATACACTTCCTAATTCTGTCTGCTGGAAGGCTCTATAATCAATGATATACCTACAGCAATGAGCACAACTAGTGCCCATATCTTGGTTTCTAAATACCTTTCTTCTTAAAAGAATGAGGGCTCCTTGGAAAAAAAAGGCTGATTACGGGACTGGGACAAGAATATGATGAGCCTGGGGCATTTGTGTGCAGCCGAAACTAAGGTAAGTCCTCAAATAATGATGAAGACATATGAAACCAACACAAGATCCAGTTTGAAGGGATTCCCATTGGCTAAATCTCAGGCAATCTGAGCATCAAAATAATGACAGTAATAAATTATGATCACTGAGTAAAATAAAATCCAAAAGCCCATAGTGATACAAATAAACAGATGAGTGAATGAATAAGAAAGGAAATTGTGGTAGAAGGCTAATAACTACAAAAATTTATAGAGTTAAAATGGATGTTTTATGAGGATGAGGATATTTATATGAGGTCAAAGCATCTTCCCACAAATGATTTATTACTTACAAAGGAAAAATAGTAACTTTATACTGGAGAAAGTTGGTGGGCACCACCTTGAAGAAGTATTCAATGTTAACATCATCAACATGAGGACAAATCAGCATCACATGCTTCTAGACCTAATGCACTGCGAAGAGCACAGCATCATTTTGATGGTGTTCCTGCCACAGAATGATGTAACTCGAATGTAATCACAAAGAAACAAACCCAAATACAGACATTCTAGAAAGTAGCTGACAGATACTCTCCAAAAATGTCATGGTCAAGAAAGACAAAGAAAGGCTGAGAGATCTTTCCAGGTAAAAAGAACAAAAGAGACATGACAAATAAATGTTGTACATGGTCCTGAATCCTAGACAAGAAAAAAAAACCTATAAAGGACATTATTGAAACAACTATTCAAATTTAAATATTGATCATGGATTAGATAATAATATTCTATGGTATTAAATGTGAGCTTTCCTGATTTCAAGAAGTATGCTGTGGTCATGTGAGAGAATATTTGTTCTTAGGAAATACATAAGATATATTTAGAAGGGTATGATGTCACCAATCTTCTCTCAAATGATTAAGAAAAAATTAACGAAAGATAAAGAATGATAAATGGTTTTTTTTTTTTATTTTATTTTTATTTTATTAGGGTGAGCGTTTATCATTGAGTCAGTGAATGAGGTAAATAGTGATGGGCATTCTATGGATTGAGTAAATAATCATTGAGTCAGTGAATGAGGTAAATAGTGATGGGCATTCTATGGATTACTTTTGTAATTTTTCGTTAAGTTTGGCACTATGACAAAATAAAAGTTATTAAAAATCCTAAAAACCACAAAAAATATGTATTATGGCCAATACTTATATATGCAACATCAATGCTCAAACTTAAGTTCCAACCAAGAGTAATGGGTTTTCTGAAAGAAAGAAGATTCTATGGCCTTAGTCACTGTAATCCCTTCTTGAAGAGCCACAGTGCACTTTAATAAAGAAGCCTATTTAATTGGACTTAATCAACATTTCCACAAAAATCTGTTCAGAAACCCTGACTAAAATGGAACACCTTTTAAAATCTTACAAAAATATCAATATTCTATGGAAAACAGTTGGAGAATCATTTGTTTACTAAATATGTTTCCTATACATGGGTAATTGAAGAAAGATTTGTGCTGGGAAACAAAGAGAGAGAAAGAAAGAGAGAGTTACAGACACATGCACACAGCCAGAGAATATCAGCTTCAAATAGCAAGAGAAAAATTACATGAATCTAAAAAAATATATCTACCTAAAATGTCCCACTCAAGCTGATATAGTCTGTTCTTATAGGATGTTTCTCAAGAGGATAGAAATTTGGCAAACTGAGTTTTAGTTTTATTCAACCATTAAACTGAACATGTCGTCATGCTAATTGTTATTTTAAGTCGGATCCATCCCATGAACTGCATAGCAGAATAGCGTCCATGCCTTTGTGGGAATCTACTGTGGGCCAGGCACTGTTCAAGGCTCAGAGAATATGATAACAAATAAGACACAGTTCCTGCCATCCATGAGCTCGCAGTCTAAAGAGGGACAGGGAGAAGTGAACACATGTAGTGGAAACTGTGAGATCCAATAGGCAGAGAACTTTGTGGGAACACAAAAAGGCACCAAACTCAGGCAGAGAGGCATCAAGGAAAGTTCCCCCGAGGAAGTGATATTTACATCAAAATAAGTTAACACACACTACATTTCTTTGAAAAAATATTGACAAAGGTTTTTTTTTAACTTTATTTTAACCATCATGTTAGATTCTGAACCCCCATGGCATCACTATAGTTAGAAAAAGAGAAAGAGAGAGAGAGAGAGAGAAAGAGAGAAAGAAAGAAAGAAAGAAAGAAAGAAAGAAAGAAAGAAAGAAAGAAAGAAAGAAAGAAAGAAAGAAGAAAGAAAAGAAGGAAGGAAGAGAGAGAAAGAAAGAAAGAAAAAAGGGAGAAAGAAGAAGGAAGGGAGAGAAAGAGAAAGAAAGAAGAAAGAAAGAAAAAAGGAAGGAAGAGAGAGAACGAGAAAGAAAGAGAGAGAGAAGAAGGAAGGAAGGAAGGAAAAGAAAGAAAGAGGAAGGAAGGAAGGAAAAGAAAGAAAGAGAGAGGAAGGAAGGAAGGAAAAGAAAGAAAGAGAGAGAGAGGAAGGAAGGAAAAGAAAGAAAGAGAGAGAGGAAGGAAGGAAGGAAAAGAAAGAAAGAGAGAGAGGAAGGAAGGAAGGAAAAGAAAGAAAGAGAGAGAGGAAGGAAGAGAGAGAAAGAAAGAAAGAAAGAGAAGGAAGGAAGAGAGAGAAAGAGAAAGAAAGACAGAAAGAAAGAAAGAAAGGAAGGAAGGAAGGAAGGAAGAAAAAGAAAAAGAAAGGAAGGAAGAAAGAAAGAAAGACCCACTAGCTATTAAAATCTAGGTACAGTTCATAATCTAAGGACTGTGATGCTGAGTTTGCCACAAACGGCCATCTTAGAATCCTTCCGAAAGCACTTCTAGACTCACCCATGTGTTCAAGTGTGGGAGTAAAACAACTGGGAGAGCAAGAGAAAAAAAAAAACAGTATGAACTGAAAAAATGAGAAATAGAACAGTACTCGAAGACAAGACGTGGTAAGTATTGTTTACCTGTCAACTGACATTGATTAATCTTGTGTTCGGTAATGTCGCTCAGTGACTCGAACACCTGGAGGCAGCTGTCACAGCTGTGCACGGCCTCGTCTTCCAGCTCCTCTCCGTCCTCCGGCCTCTTCTTACAGCCTAGCGCCTCTCCATCTTCAGTCTTGTCTTCAAGTTTACAGCTGGGGTCTGAAAGAAAATCAAGACTGTAAGTGCGGGGTTTAAAGACAGGTTCTTTTCAAGTAACGTTTAATCTTCTTGCTACCAAAAACAGAAGCACCATTTTCCTCAAAGCTGTAGAAGGAAGGCTCCGTGGCAGATTTTATTCCAGAGGAACCAAAAGCGAGTCTTGCCTAAGATGTGTCACTTCAGGATGGCTGACGCTTTTCCTTTCCACCGCCACGTGGGCCTTTTTTTTTCATCGCTTCCTTCAAATAATTCATCTGTCCACTCTTAAGGTGAACTTTGATATTTTTCATAGCCTTTTAGGGGGTTTTGCTTAAAAGGTAGAGAAATCAGTTTTAAAATTAAAGTCTCCGATGTAAAGGAAAAGAACCACTGTGCGTAAGAATGAATTCCCTTTCTGCTAAATATACTGTTTCACAGGAAATTACCCGAATTAGCCAAAAGTCTAGAATAAGCTAAGCTAATTACCATAGGCACGAAATTGACCTTTACTTACAAACTGGTCAAAACACACAGTTACCCCATTATTTGTTAGACAGCGATAGCCAAATAAGCTCTACCACACAGCAAAACATTCTTACAAACACGGATTCAAGTGTAAATATATTGGCACGTCTCTTGTTTTCAAACAAGTAATCATCAAAAAAAGCAATAATATACAAAGAGCAATTATAAATTATAATCAAGTCAACGACTTAAATTGCATTACCAATGTCAAAAAGCTAAGGTGGCGGGAAAACTAAAAATAGTTCTATTCTACCCCTAAGAATGATACACAAATAGCAAGGGGGAATGAGAGAGTAAAACACATGTAACATTTTTACTTAGAGCTCTATACATACTTTAGATACTTCTTGATTCTATGTGTGGTCCTTTGACTCATTTTAGCGATGCCCCCAGACATCCTGGTGCCATCCCTCCTCTTTACAGGAAAGCAAAAGTGGGGAAGGAAGAGAAAGACAGAATATGCCTCTTTAGGGGAAATTGGGTAATATAATCTGTGACATAATTTATGGGACATTAATTTCTAATGGCAAAATGTCCTCCAAAGTCAGAAATAAATTATGTCTCAAAATACAGTCAATAAAATGGTTATCAAAGAGTTGTATCAAGATACCTAAGAAATATGTAATGCATTATCTGTAGTCAATTTTTTTTAATATGGGAAGATAAAAATTTGAAATGTTAAAATCAGGAATTCACAGAACCAAAATTAGCCCAGATGTCGTAGAAAAATCTGTAAGTGCCACCACACTACCATCCTCCTGTCTGGAAATGCTCTCTGCTGCCCGGCATGTAACACGCTTCTACGAACCCTCCTTCTTACAAGTCACTATGGTCCCTTTTTTGCTGGCAGTTGTTCTAAAGCCTTTCTTCGCGTCTGCAATAAACTTAACTCTGTCACCACCCTTCAGATGATTCACGTGTGCCAGAATCAACTTACATTTCAACATATATAATAATCTCTTGGGCTCATGAACAGAGCAGAGTTCTCATCTCAAAGAACAAGTATTTTGTTTGTTTATTTGTTTTTAAAGAACACAGTGTTTAAGTGAATTGGTAATTTGGGTTGATTTGCCATCTGGAAAATTATTATCTCAATGCTCTACACAGTGCCCATTTCAATAGACTGGGGTTTTGACTGCTCATTCCTGGGGGAGTAATCACAGGATCTTTTTTGTGTGTCTTGTACTTTGCCCAGCACAGCACTGTGTCCAGGTGAGTGCTTAGTAAATATTATTTAGTGATGATAAAAAGGGAGAGGAGTGAGGAGGTAGAAAAAATGTGCATAAAAAGTCCTTTAACTGGTATTTTTTCTATAAAGAGGAACAGATCAGGTACCACACCAAATTAAAAAGTACCTACATGCCTACATTTCCCAAAATTGACGCGATGATCCATCACATTTGACTTTGCTGGTTTCAGATATTTCACACACCACAACAAATAGGTGGTGGTTCAAAGATCTCCAACAAACTAAAACTAAGTGGTAAAATACTGCCAAATTAGAGAGAAAGTCCGGAAAATAAATAACTGTCCCAATTACGGCAAACTGGCCCTCACACCACTAAGTACTTGTTGGAAGGCAGTATGCACACACTGAATATTCTCCATTGTTTAGCATGAGATTCCAGTTTCTCATAAAACTGATAGCACTGAGGGAAATGTGGGTGCTAAGTCTGAATTTTAATACGATTATTTAAATGCTATGCATCAAGTTTGCAGGCCTGTTTGTTTTTAAATAAGAAGACACTCTGAATACTTTAAGTAGTACGCAGAGAAAAATGATAAAAACTCGCCTTCCCTATTATTCAAGAATATGGACACTTTACACGAATCCAGTATCAAAAATATCAAACAAATAGGCATGCATTCATGATGCTTGAGCTCTTAAAAGCTAAAGAATGACTCCGGTCCGTGCTTCTGACACTGTGGCTAGTTATTAAAATAAGGGTCAGTTTAAGACTAATAAAAAATGTTTTTGCTTCCACTTCTGCATTTACAGATAGAACCCTTTAGGGACTGAAGTCAGTCAAGCTTATTCACTTCTGCTGCAACTTTAGGATGCATGCTCCAGCCAACTGGCGAATTTGTTTTTAGGTCACCACTTAAGAGGGACCCTCTGGGGGGGTAGGTGCCATTATAGTCTACGATGCCTTGGCGTAACGAGTGCTAGAATCTCAGTCTCTCTCTCTCTCTCTGTGAGTAGATTTTTTTCCCAACCTCCACTTTCATGAAGAATTATTTCTCACCCATTCAAAAGATGTTTATTTGTGTTAGGGGGCTCGGCTCCTAGAGTCAGTTGATGTAAGGAAGACTCTGGAAAGCTTACATTGTCGACCATTTCTTTCCCACAGGTGGCTACACTTCAGTAATTGCACATGGCCTCAGTTATGTAGTTTTTATAAAGTCCTTTGAGATCCAATCATAAAAAATAATTGTATTACTCCGCAAGCCATTCAAATCTCTGACTTCAACCTAAGGGGTTATAAATACAAGGTCCACGCCTGCAAGGACTGCCCTGCTCCCAACACCACTTCAAGAAGGACAACTGTTCTTTCAACTCAAGTTGTGCTCCAAACTCCCCTGAAGGGCAGTATTTTTAAATATCCACAGCTCCCCTGCACTAGAACTGCAAACCCCATCCCAGCTGCAGACACCACTCTCTGTCCTTTGACCTAAAGGATGCCACTCAGACATGTGACGTCCATCACTACTGAGCTCACCTGCAGCTCATCCCTTCAAAAGGTTGCTATGAAGCCCCGCATTTATAGCGTCCTAACCTGGGTAAAAGACTTAATTTTGGAACAAAGACACAATTATTATTACAAAAAATAAATGGCAGCTCTCTGTTTCCAATTTTGTTAACTTTACTTACAAATGGAAATTTAAAAGAAGTATGTTTTTCCCCGTATTATGTTCTCTGGCAGGTGGTGCTTTCCTTCTCATCCTCCCCTTCATAGGGTTGTTATTGCTATAACTTGGTTTAATAAAATTTCAACTTTGGGGAAAATGAAAAATTGCACTGGCTTAAAAGTGTTGGAGGCAATAAACCCATGGACTTCAATTAATTTCAAGTGTGGGATCAGTTTAAGGCCAACCAGCAGAAATTCTATTCTGTCCATGTAAAAATGAGGTTTCACCACATTTACTTTTTATAACCTATATAAAAGTCAAGTCAAAGTAATGAATATCTAAAAGCTATCTCAGTGGACTGGCAAAGACTATCTGTATTCTTGAAACTCATCTTACATATTTCTCTCTGTGCAACAAAGATCCCATGCCTGATCAAAGCTAAAATGTCAAACCACTGAGAAAACAGCCCAATTTCCAACCCATTTCACTGCCTAGAAATGGACCTCCTTCCAAGCCACTTTTGCATGGAAAAGCACTGGCAAAAGAAAGAAAAACTAAGAGATCATGTGGTTATAATTATTACCAGGCAAGGAATATTTCTGCAGCTCAGTGGTAAAGTAAAACTCTGTCGCTCCCTGCTCCCACTAGTGTCCATCGCAAAACAACTGCCTCATTAAATCTCTGCAGTAAGATTAATATGCCGTAGCTGCACTACATTTATAACTTGGTACTCTATAAAAAGCACATTTAATGGTAAGAGCCAGAGCCTAGATACAAAGTATTACTATAAAAACTTCTGGCAGCCAGTACACAGTGCAGGCCCTCTGTCCTTCTTGCAGGAGATAGAAATGAGGCTTTTCCTGGTTAATTCCAAGCACGAAGCTCTACCTTACAAACCCGAATCAGTTTTATGAGAGTGGCAGAAACACAAGATTCTGAAGATGATATAAATATGAATGCAAGAAGATTACTTAACAACTAAGATTGGCAAGAGATGAATGAACCCAAAATACTCCACTTACACACACACGCAAACTTAAAACATGACCATTTCCTAACAGTCTGTTCTCAGGTCATAGCCAGCTTTTCACCAAATTAAACAACCATGGCATGAATTACTCAATCTTAACTCAACCCACATAGTGCCAATAAGTTCAAGAAATCGCCAACTAAAAAGTGCATACTGTCTTAAAAGAACCAAAAAACAAAAACAGACACTTCTTGACTTCATTGTGATGACGCGACCTCCTGGATCTTAATTACCTAAGACTATAAAAAAAGTAAATGTTCGAGAAAAAGTGGGCCCAACACTACGCTACTAGTGGACTAGTAAAAATATAATGATTTTGTTACTTGAGAAAGCTGCCTCAGTTTTCTTCCAAGGATTTTGTCTAAAAATAAAAAAAGCATTATAACTCAGTGTCTTATTCTCAGAAATCCTATGATGAATAAGTAAACAAATACTTTATACAAATGTAACTCACACTCAAATCCCCCAAATCACTACAAATGATGAACCCCAGGTTGACAGCCATCTTGTGTCAAATAATCATTAATTGTCTAATGTTGTTTTTAAAGTTCACATCTGTATGTACAGCTAGCTCTAGGGTTTACTGGCATGGTTGCAAGTCCCATGCCTAAAAAGA